TCAGTAACTCATCAGTTGTTTCCTTGTTGTCTCCTCAGACTGAGTGGCTGTAATCTGTCAGAGAGAAGCTGTGAAGCTCTGTCCTCAGTGCTCAGCTCACCGTCCTCCAGTCTGACAGAGCTGGACCTGACTAACAACGACCTGCAGAATTCAGGAGTGAGGAGTCTTTCTGCTGGACTGAAGAGTCGACACTGCAGACTGGAAACTCTCAGGTCAGGATTCATCAACCTGTTCAACAAATAGTTGGGTAAAATCTAGGTTAACACCATAGCTCGGTCCGGATCCGGACCGAGTGATGGTTCTGTCCGGACCTGTGACCAATCTCTGATAAATTCACGAGAATAGATTTTCATGGAGCATTTTTTCCAACAGTCGCAGCAATAGAGAGCGGGCACTGCTACTCCAGTTAATCCAGCGATAGCTCCACTCAGACGAGCCAATCAAATCGTTTGGTTTCCCTGCACGATCAGCACACCGGCACAGCTCGCTGCTGATGCCACTTTGTACTTGCCCATACAGCAGAGCAGAGAGGAAGAGACAGTGATGACAGTGTGTCTTGCTCCAACAGAAGGAAGGTTGATGAGGAAAAACGCTGCTTTGAAGATGAGTGGACGGAGAAATGTACATTCATTCTTCTGTCAGGCAGTTCACAACCAGTGGCCTCATGTGCTCTGAAAACGTGGCATTAATTAAAAGTAGCAACGTGAAGCACATTACAAAACAAAGCACAGCTCTTTCAGCAAAGTTATTCCCTGAAGTCCGAGCTGAGGGCATGCACAATAACCGAGTTGCAGGCCCTGCATGACAGATCTATCTGACTCATCACCGCATTTACAGCCCAGCAACATGCAAACGAAACCTTTTATTAATTGTTTTCTGAGGATGTTGACTTTTTTACTTAAAGTGGAGGCCTTCATTTGCTTTAGGCTGGAACCTGTTAAATTTAAGAGATAAAAGAGTTATTTTGCTCTGTTTGCACTTTTTAAAATGTATTTATTGTGAGGTTTTTGTTTTCTCTAATCTGAAATAAAGGCCTTATTTTTTTTTGTGTGGAACTACTTGTACTTCTTGTAACTGTGCACTCATTTAAACATATCCTGCACGGAAAATTGACAATAAGTACTGCTGAAACCATGAAAATGTGGCCATAAGGGAAGGCTATAAGGCACACACTGGACTTCGGTTCGGACCTTTTACTTGAAGGAAATTTTCATAACTGGACCTCAGTGACTTTTAATTGACTACCCCTGCTGTAGTGTACTGTTTTTGTTGACATGATTTTCAAGCCAGTCAAGGCCTTTCTCCTTGGCATATTTTTTCTACAATTTTCATCTGATTTTTTTTTAGACATTTGAATTTCAAATATGTGTTTATCCAAATGTTGCCTTATGATGATATTTTCTGAGATCTCAGGACTGACCAGGAGGGTGAAAGCATTCAGTCATCTCAGCAGATAACAGCTCAGCTCCGCAGATGACTGTCATCAATGTCTGTAAGGGAAGAACTCAGATTTCAGCTGGATCTGATGTCTCCATAGTGTGCTGTGTAGTATGTCATTGTCTTTGGAATGAAAAGTTTGGTCTCAGAGATTCAACATTATTTTAATTGCTGTCATTAGTTTGTCTGAATGTAAAGTAAATATTTATCAACATATCTCCACATTTCCATGAAGATAACTTCAGTAGAGAAATGAGAATTACCAGAAGAAGTGTGGATTCTTTTGACTTCATTCTATTGTCAGGCCATTTTTTCCCCAAGAAGGAGTCTCTTCATGGGTCTTTGAGTTGAGATTATTTTGTCACAGTGCGGTTTTTATGTAATCACCAGAGCTGATTTAGTATTAGCTCTGATTTAGTGCTGCTGGGCCAATTTGAAAATCTACCGTACTGTAGCCCCTTGTCCTGGGTTTGGAGTGTAAGACTCACTGTATTGTGCAATGCCTTTTCTATGTTTGTATGTTAAAATCAGAACCACTCCTGATGTCACTTTTATTTATCTGCCATGTGTTGTTTTGTGTCTGCAGGCTTTCAGGCTGTCTGATCACAAAAGATGGCTGTGGTTCTCTGGCTTCAGCTCTGCGCCAAAACCCCTCCAATCTGAGAGAGCTGGACCTGAGCTACAACCCCTTAAGTCAGAGAGAGCAGGACGTGTTCCACTATGCCTTAAGATTGAGACACCGGGATTTGTTCTTCTGCCACCACTTCTTACATCAGAGAGAGCTGGACTTGAGCAACGACCATCCAGGAGACTCAGGAGTGACGCTGTTGTCTGCTGTGCTGGAGGATTCACACTGCAGACTAGAGATGCTCAGGTAGGGAGAGGCCTGTCGATTGATGCCTGTCGTGGACAGTTAGACATCGTGGAAAACTATTTCATTTGCTTAGATAGCAAGAGCGAAATACAAACTTAGTATTGATCTCCTGGTGCTCTTTAATTCCAGCTCATTGCGGGCAGGTGAAAGATGAGATAAGATAGAACTTTATTAATCCTGAATATTGTTTAGAAAAAACAAAACGACATAACATAACATATGCAGTGCCTAAAAACTGTATTTTTTATTTCGTGGGTTATATCTGTCTAATATTCGTATTTGTTTGATAATCTGGAGCAACTGAAATGTGACAAATATTTAACAAACAAAGACATCAGGAAGAGGGCCAGTGCTGTTTTTTTTAGAGCACTGTAAGTATTTTCTGTTTTTTTCTCTCTGCTATGACAGTAAACTGAAATATCTGTCGAGAGATGTGTCCAAATGCTTTGCAGGATGTGTAGAAGATCTTCTTGTCATTTCTTAAACAGTCTCCTGGTGATTTGCACCACAAAGACCAACAAACTGTGGAGTCATTTTTATTACCGCTGAGACACTGCGGTCCTGCCTGTATCACACCACTCAGTCACTTCTCATAGTCACTGAAGTGTTTAAGATAATGAAACATGCTGAAGTGAAGAGATGAAAACCCCCACATCATATCATCTGGTTGGTCCAAAGTTTACTTACATGCTTGAGTTCAGTCAGTTCATCTGACCCCCTTTTGTTCTTTCAGAGTGGAGCCTCGTGGTCGCAGATGGATGATACCAGGTCTGAAGAAGTGTAAGTGTGTTTTAAATTTGATGCATGAAAACAAAGCAGCACACGTTCAACTATCTTCACTAAATGATCAGATGATTAACTCGTAGCTGTCTTGTTCTCCCTTAGATGCATGTGAACTCACACTGGACACAAACACAGTGAACACAAACCTCAAACTGTCCAACAACAACAGGACGGTGACAGAAGTGAAAGAGAATCAGTTGTATCCTGATCATCCAGACAGATTTGACCACTGGCCTCAGCTGCTGTGTCATGATGGTCTGACTGGTCGCTGCTACTGGGAGGTCGAGTGGGAAGGAGGGGTTCATATTGCAGTGACCTACAGAGGACTGAAAAGAAAAGGACGCAGCGCTGAGTCCATGTTGGGAGGGACCAGTCATTCCTGGAGTCTGTACTGCTGTGATAAATACTACTCTGTCTGGCACAATAACGGAGGGACGGTCATCTCGTCCTCCTCAGTCTCTCACAGAGTCGCAGTGTATGTGGACGTTCCTGCTGGAACTTTGTCCTTCTACAGTGTCTCCTGGGGTTCTCTGATCCACCTCCACACCTTCAACACCACATTCACTGAGCCCTGTATCCTGGGTTCAGACTCTGGTCTGGTTCTTCAGTGTCTCTGTGTTCAGAAGAAGATTCAGTCGATGACTTCATGATGATCAAGTTCCTTGGATTCTGATTGAGTGACTGTTAAGCTACCAAGTGTAACACCAGCATGGTTTGCGCAACAAATAGCTTGTGTGACAGCCCCACCTAGTATGGTAGTTGAGCACATTGGCTTTCTGTGTTGTGCTCTGCTTCCTCAGGTCCCTGGACTGCTGGAGACTGTGTGGGCGGTCCTACCTGCTTGGTGCACTTGGACCCAGCGCTCCCAGGCTACAAAAGGACCAACCCCTCAGCTCCTGCTCTCTCTCCTCCTCATGCTTGTGTCTTGGGTTGGTGTTGTAATGTAAAATACTACATCTGCATGAAGAATGTCAAAGCAAGTTTCCTTAAGTTTCATTAAAGGTGAGTGGAAAGGTTACAGGCCCGATGGGAGGAAATGTGTTTTCATAACATATTTAAGTGAGAGACTAGTGACCGTACAGAAAGAAAGAAGAAGTTGTTCATGTCAAGAGGATTATAGGAAACATAACCTTGTTGCATCCAATGTGTTTAGACTTTTGATGCCTGATCCAATGTGTTTAGTCTTCTAATATCTGTGAATGAGTGCACCCTGTACCCCCAGCTGTTGATTATCAAGCACAAGATTGTTTTACTACCATTGCAGCAAAGGCCACGCCTGTACATGTATAAGAATACCACACTGCCTGCACTCATGTGTACTCTCCTGCAGACTGCTTGCATTCTGTCTGACCTGTACCTTGAAAGCTTTGAATAAAACAAGACAAAGACAACTCAGATTTATTATTAAGATCATAGAAAGTTTCCACAACAGACAACACCTCGCACCACATCGTATCCAGGCATCCGCACCTACACTGCTGATATCGCTGACGTACACATCTCACTTGGAAAGTATTAATTTAACCAGTTAATCAAAGCTTACGTTTAAATCTGGCAATACCTGTATCGTCTCCTTTCTTTTTGCCATAGCCTATTTGCCGGGTTACAACACTTGTAAAGTGAGCTATATATATATATATATTATTTCCAGGAGTCCAATATTCATTGAAGCTCTCCTCCACCTGACATGGTTTTGTAAATCACCAAAGTAACAGCTGGAGATCAACAGATGTGTTAGTGGACGTCCATATGGCTGTAAATACGTTGCGGTTTATTTACCGGAAAACTATTACACACACAATTACCGTAGAAAGTAAATTACAAATAAATACATATAATAATGTAATAATAAATAATGTACATCCAGCTAATGATATTTAGTGCCCACCTGATTCTTCAGAAGCTGTAAATACAGAATGCAAATCTATCATGGTTTTAGGAAGAGGAATAATGTGATATTACTACCAGATTGAAGTGGGGCATCAAACCTCTGTTGTCCACTTTTTTTTT